CGCCGCCCCACGAGGCCAGCCGCTCGCGGCCAGTCCCAGCCCACGCTGCTGGTCAGCCGCTCGCAGAGTCCCCTGCCTCCAGTCGCTTGGGGGTCCCGTGTCACCCCCGGCCCCCGGTCCCCTGCCACCCCTTCGCCAGAGGGCTCGGGTCACCCACCGGGTGCCAGCCCTCGCCGGGGGGTCCCTTCAGGCAGGTAAGCGATGTAGAGATGCTTCGTGCCCCAAACCGCCTGGTTTCAGAATAGTTTTTCTCACATCCCTGAATTATTTTATCCCTCCCTTACGGAGGTGCCCAGCAGCCGGCTGGATGGAGGGGGGACGCAGCAGCTCCCAGGCCCTTCTCCGTTCTCTTTTCTTGCAGGACACAGGAGCCACCGGCTGCCGCTTCGAGGAGGCAGCCACCACCCTCCAGGTCACCCGCTCGACCCAGCTCCCTCGGCCGTGGGACGATGTGCCGGGCGCCCACCCCTTCCCGCCTGGCCCCAGGCACACGGGACAGCGTGGGGGTCCGCCACGCGCCGTGTGGGAGCACCCCGGGAAAAACCCTTTTGGCACCAGCACGGGGCAGGTCCATGGCACCCAGCACCAGGCTGACATCTCGAAAAAGCACCCAGCAAGGAGGCAAATCTGTGGCAGCTGCCATGCCCCAAGAAGGGGGGGTCCCTGCTGCGGCAACACCCCGTGCCCCCAGCCCCATCAAGGTTTGTGCCCCCGTCCTGCACCAGGATGCCCGCGGAGACTCACAGAGCCAGAAAAGCCCGCGGGAAGGGAGCCAGGGAGCTCTTGGCCGGGGCCAACCACCCTCACCCCGAAATTCCTCCAGCCAGCCTCTGAAACAGGACGGCAGCATTAAATCCCCCATCAAAGCCAGCCCAGCGGTCTGCCAGCCCCCCAGCCCTCCGGCTCATTTTGCAGATGGGTGCAAGGTCTGTGATGCTGGGGAGGGTCCCCAGGGAACCCAGCAGTGCCACCCAGCCCCGAGCCCAAGGGCTGGGGGTGCTGAGGGACCTGGGGTGCCAGCGGACAAACCGGGGGGAGCCTGTGACCCCAGCGGAGGGAACGAGGGTCTCCGGGGATGCTGGGGACACGTGCAGCCCCCCGGCTATGGCAGGGTGGTGGAGGAACTCTCCCGTGGGAGGCAACCCCTGCGCCCCGTGGGGCTGGGGAACTGGGTCCCCAAAACACCCCCGCAAGCTGCCCCGCAGCCCACCGCCCTCCCGGCTGGGGGGGAGGCGGAGGTGCTGGGAGCAGGGGGTCAGACCCCACGGGGACCCAGGGCCAGCAACGTCCCCAAGCCCCGGCGGTGCCTGAAGAAACCCGAACGCGTGCCCTCCATCTACAAGCTGAAGCTGCGGCCCAAGGCTCGTCCCCGGCGGGACCACAGGCCGGGCAAGCGCCCCTCGCGTATCCCCACCCCGCTGGGGCAGCGCCCACCAGCCCCCCGGGGCCAGCATCACCCCCCGGGACCCCCCCGGCACCCCGAGCCCAGTGGCACCCGCTCCGGGGCCAAGCCCTCGCCGGCTGACAGCGGTGCCTGGCTGACCGAGGATGATGAGGAGGCGTGGGTCTGACCCCCCAAGTCCCGCGTTTTGGTGGGGACGGACCCCCTCCCTCATCCGAAGGTGGGAGCGATGCTGAGGCCAGAGTTGCGGTGCTCGAGGTCAGCGTGGGCAGCACAATGGATTTGGTCCCAGGCAACCCGGGGGGAGGGTCGTCCCCTCCTTGCTCTTTGGAGCTGCACCCCCTCCTTCCCTGTGGGGGTTTTTTTTGGGGGCTGGTAATTCTCCTCCTAAATAGGTGCTCTTGTACTGGTTTGGGTGGAAAAATCCAGCCCCAAATGGAAAGAATGGGGCACTTTCTGCAGGGAAGAGGGGTGTAGCCAGCCCCTATGGTGACCCCTAAAGCGGGGACACCGTGTACCTGGCATCCAAGTGTGCAAACCATCTCGTACCTCAGTCTTCCCCATCTGTACAATGGGCCTAATGATCCTCATGTCTTACAGCACCAAGAGCCTTCATGAGTGTTTGAGTCTCTCAGGTCACGGGGGGTCACAGGAGGTGACCCTTGCTGAACTCCGTGGGCTTCCTTATGGGTGAAGGTGGGAGACGCGGGGGGGGTTGGTGGTCACCTCGGTGGTGATGGTTGGGGTGATGGCTGTCACCAAGGCTCGCTGCCGGCACCGCCGTACTCCAGAGCCTGCAGCCATGGACCCAGCAATGTTGTTTGTGCAATAGAGATAAACCAAAGCTCTTCTGTTCCGGCATCTTTTCTGTGTGGGTAGGGAGGCAGAGAGGATAATCCTGATGGGGGGGTCACGGCCGATGAAGGGGACTCATGCCGCTGGTCTGCTGTCTGTGTGTACAGCAAACATCCCTCCGAAAGCCCCCTGGGGACCAGAAGAACCCTGTTTTCCAAAAAAGCATGAAGCCAGACCCACAGCCCTGCAGAGGAGAGGGAAGGGCGAGTGCCGGTGCCCTGGGGATGCAAAACCTGCTTGCAAAAATACTCCTTTTGCAGGGGAGAAACAAATTCCCCCACCCTGGACCACTGCCTCTCACAGAAGGACTGTGAGAGCGGCAGCGGGGCGGCGAGAAATCGGGTGCCACGGGCAAAGAGCAGCAAAGCGGGTACAGAACAAGGGGGGACAGACCTGATTTTTAATTCGATTTCAAAGAAGGGGGTGCAGGGCGTTACAGGCGGTGTAGACACCTCGGGAATCTCCGACAAGAAGTCCAGGGGAGGAAAGGAAAGCCAAGTCCAGGCAACCGGGACACTCACCGGGGCAGGAGGAGGAGGAGGAGGAGGAGAGGGAAGCATTCTTGCCAGGACTGGACTGAACCCAGGCATCACCTCCTGCAGCACCATGCGCACGGGGAGGGGGGGACAGGAACCCAGCGCTGCCTTGGGGACAGCGGTGGGGACAACCTCAGCCTCTCCCAGGCTCAGGAGCAGGTTATTTTTAGCAGGACCAGGGTGGCATTGGGCGAGCGGTAACACTTTGTACTAAGGGTGTGAGCAGGGGCAAGGCGCGGGTCGCTTGTAGCTGCTGCTGTGCTCCTGGCTGCTCTGATCCCCGCGAGCCTGGCCACACGCCGGACCTCCCTGCCTCAGTTTCCCTGCCTGCACCCGGTGGGTACCACCACCTACCCCCTCCTGGGCTCTTGGGAAAGTAGCTCTTTGTAGCCCTCATTTTCTCAGGAGCTGGGAAATGCTGTCAAAGCAGTGAGAGTTATCATTACTAATATAACTTTCTCTGTCTATAAAGTACAATAGAATATAACAATTATATTTATAACCTTTTTTTTTTTTCCAAAATACTAAATAGATGCTATAAAAACCTGTAACTAATTGTGCTATAAACTGCAGGCTACAGGGTTATAACAAACAATGTATTGGCTTAGTCGTTGATATGTATACGTCGGAGCACTTTATAAATGCTTTATTATTAGCATTTACCAAGGAGTTTCCTTCTCAAACAATTTGGAGGGATAAAGCTAGCCAGAGACCAATAACGTGGACTTACACATGTTAATAAATCCTGATGAGATGAGGTCGGGGGGACCAGTGGCGAAGCCCCATACGTTTGCCGTGAAGGCGAGGGATGATGATGGATGCCACTGCCCTTCCCCGGCCCGGGCTCTCGCAGCCACCTGAGACGGACCCATGTCCCCCCATCACCTTTTCTCTTTTTATCCTTTTTTTTTTTTGGAGCAAGGGGGATGGGGTTTGGTTCTCAAAGCGGCTGCTGGTGATGGGAAGGGAAGAGCAGGATGACCCCCAACCCTGCGGCATTGGGGCTGCAGGGCAGCACACGGCCCCGGCAGCAGGGATGGGGCGGTGAAACGCACCGTGCCGGAGCTCAGCTGGACCTACTCTTAATAGAAAGTGTTACCGAGAGCACAGCGGTGCTTCTGTGAGATGGAAACCTGGCCGCAGGGGAAGAGATGGGGCTGGCGTCCTTTTGCTTTACTGCCCAGAGCGATGCTGAATACCTGCATTGCCTTGTTACACCAGAAATCACCGAGATGGTTTTGCCGGAGGATGGACCGGCCTCAGATCCTGCCTCGGACAGCGTTTCCCCGTGTCCCACAGGGAGCAGCCAAGAAAGAAGAACCACAACCCCCTCGGCCTCTTGCTCACCCCTCGCCGGCACACCGCCCCAACACCATTTCCTAACAGGGACTGCGCTTTGCCACCCACCCTGCAGGACAAGACACAGGTGAGCTGCAAGTCTGGTGTAAAAACAAGCTGAAAGATTAAAAAATAATAATAAAAAAAAAATTATGGGGGGCTCACTTTCCTATTAGGGCTATGCAGAGAAAAAAAAAAAAAGGAATGCAAGTGGAATTGCAACTCCAGCTCCCTATTGCTTTGGAGGCTGCCTTCACACCGCCGCCATCTCATGTGGACGGAGGCAAGCGTAGCTGTGGGAAAGCCCGGTGCGGGTTGGACCCATCTCATGGCACCACTGGTGGGGTGCGATGGCATGGGGGGGGCTGCCTGCCTGCCCGGGAGACGCCGGGGGTTTGGGTCAGAGCTGTGCAAAGCCGGTCGCCCGCTGAGCCCGGGATGCGAGGTAGCGGAGGGGTGACCTGCCTGGCAAGGAGTCTTTTGAGATTATTTGGTGTTCGACAGGCTGGTGGGGGAGGAGAAGCCTTCCTTGGCTGAACCGGGGCAGAAGGGGGACTCAAAGCCCTGGGAAGGCAGTGCCTGGCACCCCAGGGGATGTAAGGGGCAGGATGGGCCCTTTATGTGGGTTTTTTTTTTTCCCCTTTCTTGCTTTCATCCAGAAATTCCACTTGGAAATCTGACCCAACAGAGCCAAAAAAGAGCCCGTGTAACCTGGCCTCTTGCCGGAGGCTGCTCTGCCCTCTGAGGGGAGAAACCTCAGCTCCGCAGGGAGGAAAACAGGACTTCCATCTCCACCATGCCCCAGGGATGGAGCCACCCCCGGCACATCGGGACACAGGCGCTGGGCAATTTCCTTCCGGGGGGCAGGTGATGGCAGGTGATGGCAGCGGCAAGCGTTGCCCCTGCGATGCCGGGGCAGGAGCCGGCAGGGACGGACCTGACAGCCAACCTCTGGGCACCAGCTGAGGCATCTCCTCCACTCCTCCCCAGCGCCACGGCAGCGTTTCAGGCACGGCAGAGACACTAAACCCCCAGGACGGTTTTGGCCCCGAGCACTGGAGGCTCAGGGAGGGCTCGGGGGTTTAGCCGAAGTCCTCCCTCACCTCTTGCTACCTCCAGGAACCACGCTGCCCATCCGCTCCAACCCGCCAGTGGCCACCGCATCACCCTGCCCAGCACCGCCCAAGGCGCACCGTCCCCCAAATGTCACCGTGGGGTGCCAGCGCCGGTGGGGAAGCAAACCTGGAGGTGCCTCCGGCACAGCTCCCACCGCGGCATCACCCTCCCAGAGAACGGCCCAGGGCGAGGGGGGTCCGTCGGGGCAGGGGGGGGCTCACATGATGGTGCATCGGTTCCTGCGCAGGGCACCCTGGAAGCGGATGGTGGTGTGGACGTGCTTGCAGCGGGCGCAGCCCACGCTCTTCAGGAGCTCGCTGAAGAGCAGCAGGATGTGCCAGTTGTACTTGGCCGAGCACTCGATGTAGCCGCACTTCCACGTCTTCTTCACCAGGTTGGAGACGTTCCAGCGCGGGATCACCCGGCCCCGCTGCAGGTCCCGCTTGTTGCCCACGATGATGATGGGCGTCTCCGAAGTGCCGATGACCCTGGGGAGGGGAGGTGGTGAGGGAGGACAGAAGGGGACAGGGCACAGCATGACAACCAACCGACCCATCCCAAACTGGCTCTTGGCTTTGGCTTGCCAAGAGGGATGTGCCTCCTCTTGGCCTGTCCCCTTGTCCCTCTTCGTGGCCAGCCCCCCACCGTGCCCACCCCAGTTGCTTTCCCAGGGATGGCTGCCCTCGCCCATGGGGGGGTACCTGCCCGGGGTCCTGCTCCTTCTCCTGCCCCTGGGTCCAGTTTTGCTTTTGCTTTTGGGCTCCCAGCCCTGCAAAGGGGCTTTGTCCCAGTCTGTGATATCTCATCTCCGATGGCAAGAGCAGGGGAGCACTGGGGCGAGCCGTACGGCCCTACCGGCAGCCCGAGGGGGATGTACCCTCTGGCAAAGTGGTCCCTACCTCGTTTCCAGGATCTGCTGGCGGATGGTTTTGATGTACTCGAAGCTGTCAAAGCAACAGATGTCATAGACCAGGATGTAGGCATGGACGCTCCGGAGCCCCCTGCAACACACGTCCGCCCACTCCTGCAAGGTGCAGAGAGGGATCAATCCTGGCTCAGCCCTGTCGCCGTGCCCAGGGGATGCCCCGCACTGCTTCGGGGCTGGGCACGTCAAGGAGGCTGCTACGCCGGCAAGTAGCAAGGGGTAAGACAAGCTCTCCAGCCCTGACACCCAGCACCGATCTCACCTCTGCTCTGCCCTGACCCATCCCTCCAACAGCTGCATTTGTCCCCCGCAGCCCTTCAGTCATCCCCCCCATCTCTGGAGATCCTTTATCCCCCTCGTTAATCCAGAGGAGAGATAACGGGATTTGTCAGCCCCAATTCCTCTCTCCAGTGAGGATTACAGCCTGCCTAGTGCACAGCTATCCAGAGGTGAGCTGGGAGCGGGGCTGACATCCCCCCGCCCTGGATGTAAAAGCTTCATCCTCCAGAGCTGCTAATTAAGTGTGTTAATTAGTAATGCACCCTGGTTTTTGGGCAGGGCAGGTGAAGAGGATGTTGAGGGGGGCTGGGGATGATGGACCAGCAGGTCCGTGGGTAAGAGGGGGAAGGTGAGGGCAGGGGACATGGGGACAGGAGAGGAGCAGCCGCTGCTTGGGAGTGGGATCTGCGAGAGCAAGGTCAGGAGCCAGAGCAGAGGCAGTCAGGGGTGGCCTCTCCACAGCCCAAATTTGGTGCTGTAAGAAATACCTGTTGTTAGGAAAGCTTTGGGTTTCCAGGAATAACAGGATTTTTTTTTTTCCATGCTATAGGAGTGAAAATCTGCCCCGCTTCCAGCCACTTTCCCAGCCCAGCAGTGGTACCGGGAATGGCAGCCCATGCAGACAGCACCACGAACTCTCCTGAGCACCGCTGGAGAGGAGAAAGATGCACCAAGGAGAAAAGGCGTCACTTGTCCCTGAGCAAACCTCTTCAGTACGATGAATCATCCCTTTCTGAGTTTATCATTGGAATGAGGCAAAATGAGAAGACCTAGGACCAAAGGGAACTGGGGAAAGGAAAGTGTTGGAGTGCAGGTTGGTCTCCATCGCAGACCACGGCACGGGAAGGAGCTGGGAGCGAGCGGCATGACACAGCCCGTCTCCTGTCCACCGAGGAGAGGAGATGATGTGTAGCTCCTCAGTATCAAAGAGATGCAGGTAGATGAAGCGGCAGTGTCTCAGGTTACTCTGAGTCCTGATACACCTGGGAGATTAACAAATTGCAGCTATTTCACCACGCTGGGGTGCAGCTTGCTCCGGTGCTGTGACGTTGGGATGGTTTTCCCCATGCAGGGCAGGTTTCCCGGGATGCTCGGGGCTGGAGGAGGATCGCACCGTGCATCCCGCCTGGCCCTGTGTGGGAGTTGGATGTTGGGGAGCCACCGGCTCCTGCTCCTCTCCCAGGACATCACCACAGGGATGCTGCTCCAGAGCACGGAGCAGAGCCCAGCAATGCTCCCCAGCAGACAGAGCCGTATCCCCCACCCTGGTCCTCCCCTTTCCCCTCGGAGCCATCCCTCTGACCACCCTCTCTTCCCTGGAAACCTCCATCTGTTCCCACCAGCCGCCTCCTCTTGAGCGCAGCAAGGCAGGGAGTTAATCGAGTATGTTAGCATCGGCTGCTGTGTCAATAAATTACTCTTTGCTATTTCGGGCTGTCTCTCGCATTGACCTTTCGTTCCCTGCACACACCGATTAATTTTTAAACTTCCTCCTCGCCCCCAGAGTGCTCACTTCACCTCCTGCCCAACGGCACAGGGGAAACTTGGAGCACTACAAGGCCCCTGTAACCTCGTCCCTGTCTGGCAGGGGAGCAATATAATTCTATTGATTAAAAATAGAAGACAGCCCAGCTCCTGCGGAGGTGCTCCACCGGTGGCCTTGCCCTCCGGCGCGGCTGTGGCCACGGCTGGGCATCTCCAGCTCCTTTCCCCACAGCGGAGGCACAAGTTGTGCCCCCGGGATGGGGCTATGGCACGAGCTTAAAATCCTCTTTTTCCCCACTAAACGCACCAAAGCGGTCGGCACTGGTGGCAAAGCTTTCCAACCCCACGCTGCCCTTTGGGGCTGTTTTGAAAGCACGTGAGAGTGCTGGGGGTTTGAGGAGGAGTTGGTGGGCTCAGCACTCGGGGGACAAACCCAGGCAATGCTGGGGGGGTGACGGCCACCCCCGGAGGGGACGAGCAGCCCCGCTCCTCTGCCTGCCTCAGGCAGTGGGTGCATCGGGGTCTGGGTCTCCAGGAACCCATGATTTTCACCTGAATGCTCTGGCCACGCTCCCCCAGCCCTTTGCTGGCACCGGCTCTGACAACCGCAGAACTGGATCCCAGTGCTCCAGGATCCACCGCCCAGCTGGACGGGGCCATGGGCAAGGCCAGAGCCACAGTCCTTGGAACGGGATGCTGTCCTTCCTGCTTTTGCTGTCATTTTAGGTGAAAAAGCTTTAAAAGCCACTTTATCCTGGGCCGGCTCAGCCAGTAGCCATGAGGATGGGATCCCTCGCACCGGCTTTTAGCAAGCAAACCCCGACATGGAGGGAGAAGCGTCCCCCGAAGAGGAGGAACCGGGACCCCGCAGTGCCATACAGAGAAACCCCACGGACGTCACCGGAGACCCCCCAACGTGGAGGTCCCATCACACCGAGCCGGGTGCACCCCTACCTGCAGGGTGTTGACGGGGAAGGCGGTGATGGGGGGGAAGTCCATGATCTGCAGGTCGTGGACGTGGCCGTTCATGACGACGGCGGGCAGGTAGACGCGGCGGGCCGTGGTGGGCACGCAGACCTCGCTGAACTCGTTGTAGAGGAACTGCCGGACTATGGCACTCTTGCCCACGCCCTGGGCTCCCAGCACGGCGATCTTGAACGTTGCCACCATGCCGCCGCGCGCCGGCCGCTGCCCTGGTGCTGCCCCTGCGGTGCCGAGGCTGCATATTCCCGCGCAGGGGGCCTCAGCCCCATTCAGGATGCATTTCCCCTCCGGGACAGCCCGTCACTGCAAGGCCAAGGAGAAGCTAGTCAGATCCTAGAAATACCCTGGCAGACCCCACTATTGCTTCAGGTGAGATTTCTTCCAAGCAGGAGCTCATGGAAAAGGGTTATATCTGTCCTCGGGGAGTAGGAGCGTCCCCCAGGGCTGGGTAATGTCCTCAGCAGGATCCTTGGCACTGCAAGACCTCAGGGTCCCCCTCGGAGGCTCTCACCCTGCAGAGCCAAGGAGAGCCAGGATTTGAGCGAGTTTTATCCCAAGAGGGTTCTCACAGGCACATTCAGCCCTTTCCGTACCACAGCAAGGAAACCTCTGGGAAAGGGACTGTCTGCAGCTCAGGGTTTGCCCAGCTCCAGCAGCAGCGGGGTCCTGGGCTGTGCTGGGGACTTGTCCCATAGCGCCCATGGGGACCGTCACCAGCTGCTCCATCCCGATGCTGCCCCAAGCCGGGAATCCATCTTCTCTCCGCTTGGACAGCCAGAATTGCCTTTTGCTGGGGCGGGGGGGGAATTACTCTGCGCCTGCGAGCGACATCTTTAATGTTTAATTTCAGGCTTTGAGCGGTTTGGCAATTAACTTGATGGAGGCTAATTTCCGAGCCAGCTGATGGGGTGAGCCCACAAGCTGCTGGCACACGTGCTGAGGCCGGAGGTGCCCCGGGGCAGGGCCACGTGTGTGGGGGTACACGGGGCGATAACCCACACACGAGGATGCAGCAGCTGAGTCTGAGGAGTCCAAATGCCAGCTGGCACCCAGTTCCCGACCAGGGACTGCGGTGGCAACAGCAAGGGTGAGGCACTGGGTCCCACTTTCGCTTGCTCCCATCGCTAGGAAGCGGCTTGTGCTTTATCCCGAAGTGTGGATGGATGCTTTTACCAATTTGTGATGCTCTAGTCCGTTCTCCCTGAAAACCATCCCCAAAGCACAGGACAGCGGTCCCTGAGCTGGCAGAAGGAGGCAGGTTCAAACCATCCTGTCCTGCCTGTTTGATGGAGGTTATTTGCCCCGGGGAGAGCCTGGCCGTGGAGGTTCTTGCTGCTGGGTGCCGGGGAGGCCGAGCCTCCCGCGGTCCCCCAAGCTGGGCCATGGCTCACACCACCCTCACAAGCAGGGCCTGATCCAGCCCCAGGGCAGCAGGGTGGGTTTGTGCCCAGGGCCGGGGACCATGGCACACTGCGCTGCTGGGACCATCCCCTGGGGTGCTGACTGTGCTTTCGGGGACCAGTTCACCCCAGCCCCAGCAGCGGGAACGTTTCTGTGCCACATACAGGGAAAAGGGGGGGATGCGGGACCCCCCAGACGCGGCCCCACTGGGGGCCTTTCTCCACCAGCAGAAAGCACTGTCATTGCAAGTCCCGGGGGGCCACTCTGCTGCAGGGACAACCCCATCGCCTCAACCCCTTCCTCCTCGCAGAAGCAAGCCCAGCTCCTCTGCGGGGCCGGTGGGTGATGGAGGGACACAGCGAGAGACCCAGCACCCACAGGGCTGCCCTGAACTGCGGAGCGGGCTGAGCCCTGCCGTACCACCCCAAAACCCAAAACAGGGCCCACGTATGGGGAAAGCCGGCTTTATGGGGCCCAGAAAGCCGGGCTTGCACCCCAAAGCATCAGAGGCCGACCCGAGGGCTGCCGGCCCCACGAGCATCTCCCGCCAGCGTGCCACCGTGGGAAACTGAGGCGCAGCAGGGGGGACGCAAACCGGGGCGGCCCCGCGGGATGGTGGCGGAGCGGGGGAGCAGCCGGGGGGGGCCCCAGAGGCTCAGCACAAGGCCGAGCTCGGCGGGTTGCAGGGCCGGGCGGGGGTTCGCGGGGCGCTCCCGGGAAGGATGCTGCCCC